GAAGAATCCACGTATTCCGATACTATAGAGTAATCAAGAGTGTAATATTCATGGAGAGATAGACACATAGATCAATGGAAAGAATAGAGTCTGAAAATGGACCTTCACAATATTAGCCGCTGAGTTGGTTTTTTTTTTTTTTTTTTTCTTTTTTTTTTTTTCGTTTTCCTGAAGAAATCAGCAGTACGCTAAGTTTTGACAAAGGTGCAAAGGCTGGGTCTTTTTAACAAATGTGTAATGATGTGGCCAATTGGACATCTGTATACAAAAACAAAAAAATTGATCAACATATTCCTGCGCTTTATAACAGAAAGTAATTTCAAGCGGATGGATCCCAGTCGTAGAATGAAAACGCTAAACTTTATTGGGAGAATATACGAGAGATCTTGAGCGAGGAGAGAGAGAGCTTAAACTATGACTCCGGCCACGCTAGCAGTGTGCTAGATGCCTGAAAATGGTTTGCCCGTGAGCACGGGTAGAGGAGCCAAGTAGGAGGATTGCTGGAGAGCCAAGAAGTCAAGGCCAGCGGCGGGTAACATGAGAGACCCGTGTCTCTAAAAGAAAAGAGAGGTATATGCTAGGCGCGATGGTTGGGCGACACCCGTGTAGTCCCAGGGGCTGGCCTCGGGTAGATCTCCTTGAGGAAGAGCGGAGCTGCGAGAGCTGATGGTGCCGCATTGCACTCCGCGCGTTCTGGGCAAGCAGAGGAGACGTTTGTCGTCAAAAGAAACCGTACAGAAAAACCAAAAATGCGTTCTAAAAACGGATGAAAACCATGAAAGAGTACAAAGCGATAAATGGTTGATTTCATCAAAATTTAAAACCACGAAAGAGCAACATGGATAAAATAGGACTCATCACTGGGGGTCAAACTATGAAATATTCTGAATGTCTTTTAGAAGATAGATGCACTTATTCCATAAATTATCTTGGGATATTTCCCAAGGGTTGCTAAAAAAGTAGATTGAGTATAAAACTGTGGAAAATATATGATGAAGGCTTGTGGAGTATCTTAATATCTGCTGAACAAACTAAAGGTGCACTGCTTTGGGATTTAATGTCCAGTATTACTTGATTCATGTATCATTGGAACAACTCATACTTCACTACTTTAATAAAGAATAGAGATTGAAAAAAAAAAAAAAGCTTTCAGGTCAAAAACACCAAAAGAAAAACTGCTTCACAGTAACACAAAATAGTTTCTAGTATAATCTT